ACCAGTGTATTGTAATATAGGGTTTAACTTGACACTGCAACTCTGAGTGAGTCTTGAAGATGCGCATCAGTGAGGCATGTTCTGTGTTTGTTCTTGATGAAGTTCATGTCAGAAAAGGCTGATTCACAAAGATAGATTGAACCAAACAGGCTGGCAACCTTCATACAGTAGCTGCTGTGCATACACCACTGTACTTTTCTGTGTCAACATGGCACCAAAAGTTTGGTGCAGCCTGATAGGCTTTGAGGTGGAGGTCATTTTGCAGTCTTACAATTTCAATCTCCACCTGTCCAGCATCCAAGCTGAACGTTGCACTTAGTTGCTCAGCAATGCATGTTGTCCAGTTCATGAAAGGACTGGAAATGAACGACACACATGGCTGAAGCTGATCAAGGTCACAAAACCTGTTCTCAAACTCTTGCCAAAGTCTGTTTATGAATTGAGAGTACTTTTCTGAAACTTTGTCAAAAGTCTCAGATGCAGAAGCATCGTCTCTCAGCACCATCTGAACAGGGGGAAAGTGCAGCACCTTTTTTCTCTGTAAATGCACAGAGAAAATGTTCATCTGGGCTTTAAATGCATTTAAAGTACTTATCATGTCAGCAACAGTCTTACCTTTGCCTTGCAGCTCACAGTTCAAATTGTTCAGTTTCCCAGTAATGTCCGTTAAAAATGCAAGGTCAAGTGTCCACTCAGTGTCCTCCAGCAGCGAGGTGTCTTCGACTTTGGATTGCATGAACTCTTTGATTTCACCCAAAAAGTGACAAAAAAACGAAGCAAAATTCGTCCCCTGCCCAGCCATCAGATTTCTCTGTGTAGTAGCAGGTCACCATATTCAGCTGACAGCTCCTCCAATAGCACCTTGAATGTTCTGTGCTGTTTAGCTCTGGAGTGGATGCTGTTTATGATCTTCACGACGGGAGTCATTATGTGCCCAAAGCCGATCACCTTTGCACATAACGCCTGCTGGTGAATGATGCAGCGGTAATGCATAAAGTTTGAGAACTCTGTGTCACCTTTACAGTGAGTGATGAATCCTGTATGTCAGCCAATCATAGCAGGAGCCTCGTCTGTAGTCATACCAGCTTTTCCAATGGTACCTTTTTCTCTGCGAAAAACTCCTTCACCGTGTTATAGATGTCAACTCCCCTCGTAGTTGTCTTTAGGGGCAGTAGTGTCATAAGTTCTTCTTTTGTGGAGAATCATCAAACCCCATCCGGATAAAGACCATCAGCTGTGTTGTACTGCTGCTGTCCACAGACTCGTCACACTGGATGCTAAAACACCTGCACTTTGCCAGATCCTGGTCCAGCTGATCGGCCAAGTTCCCGGACATAGCCGACACTCTTCTAACTATTGTAGTTGCCCCCAGAAGGACATCGGAGAGAGTGGAGAGTACATCGGTTCCATATTTCTCACCTTTAAGCACAGTTTTTGCAATTATCATCATTCCTTGTTTTAAAACCTTACCATCTGAAAAAACCTTCTTTTTCTTAATCAAGAAATGTGTAGCTCTAAATGAGGCTTCGGTTGCTTTTTGGGAGCTTTTCACCGGTCTTGTGAAAAATGACTGCTGTTTGCAGGGCTTTCCCTGCTCGTTGTGCGCTGCCCGGTGGGTAGTTAGCATGGCAGCGTGTGTGACATGTTCTGAAATGTCTCTTCACATTGTGCCGCTTTGCCGTCACCACAGTCGGCCCCCAAATGAGACACACGCAGGAATCTTTCACAGTGCTGAAAAAGAACTCTTCCTCCCATTCATTGTGACAATGATATGTTTTCTTTCTTTTTTCTGCCATGTTTTCGGAGGTAAATCATCTCATCAGCTGGATTACACGTTCTAATCCTTCACGATCTAATATGAAACATTTTTCAAAGTTTTTTTTAATAGTGTCATTTTTTAATTTACAACAATGCAAGTGTGATTTAAAAAATGATAGCAACAAAAAAATTTGATGCATCTCACTGGTAAGTGGCGCTATGGTGAGCTATATTTAGAACAGGCCTGCGGGCGACTCAGGTGGTCCTTGTGGGCGACCTGGTGCCCGTGGGCACCTTGTTGGTGACCCCTGATTTAAAGACTAGCTGCTGTGGCCACCCTCTTAAGTATTACTTTAAACTAGGGTCATTGACCTGACTGGGAAGTCTTGGCACATGCTTCTTGTGTGTCAGAAAATGATTTGGGTATAGCTGTGCTTAAACATGGTCAGAGTAACAATCAGTAACACCCAAGACTAGGGATGCACTGATTTATAGGCCATACATCGCTATCAGTATTCACCTTGTTGACTGCCATTGGCAAGGTGATGGAGTTCATCACATTAGATGACTAACCATTTTCCGCTGTGTAGGAGGTGGTTATCGAAGTCTGATAAAGTATATCGAGCTCCACTACACACTGCCCAGTCGTCATCATTTTGCTGACGTCTGTCTCCCTGAACTCTACAATGCTGTGGCCACATACAATCATGACCTACTGGTTGGTGATATCCCTGCCATCAGTTTTACAACTAAATGGAGCTGGGATGCTAGCCCTGAGAGTATGCTGAGCCTCATGGCACAGTGGCTTGACAAATATTTTACCTTGATAAAAGCTGTGTTACACTCCAAGGAGTTCACGGGCTCCCAGTCTGCATCTGCTTTCTCAGAAGCATTTGAGAAAATGGTTGAAACATGCAAAATTGACAAATCCAACGTGTTAGAGTTAATGTCAGAAATACAGAAAAAACTATTACAGATATTGGCCTGACTAGTTTTGGTTGCATGGCACACACTTTGCGGCTTACTGTTACGTCCCTGGCTGGCACCTCTGCCCACTCACGTGCCAGCAGCCGAACCAGTAGGTGAGGCACGGCACACACAGCTGTTTCCAGTCTAACTGGCACTATTTAAGCCGGGTGTTGGCATGCCTCGTCGCTGGTTCGTTGTTTCTGCACTACCAGAAGTCATCTCCAGCTTCAGCTCGAACTCTTACCTGTTACTTACCTGCTAGTTGCATGTTTTCCAAGTCGTGTGCTTTATCTGTGCTCTCGCCAATTAGATTGCCTGTCACCTGCCTCGTCGGTGGTGAACGTCCTTCCTGCCATCTCTGGTCCACTGCCTGCTTTGAAATCCACATCAGTAGCTCATGTCTCATCCTCTGCATGCTCTGAGAGAGATGCCACGTTAACAGCTCGAGCCTCATCCTCTGCCTGCTCCGAGGGACACGCCACATCAGCAGCTCATTCCTCGGTGAGTCCATCTTGTTACTTCTCCCGTGAATTCCGCCTCATCTGCCCCCTGCCACCTCCAGTCCTCTGCCTGCCCAAAGGCGCTGCCATGTTTGCAGCAAGCATCCTCCGTGAATCCTGTCATCACCAGCCCCACTCCCTCCACAGTGTCTCTGGTCTTCCACAGCAGTCAACCTCCACTCCACCCTCCACCTTCTCTCTTGCCCCTGCCCGGGGTATTGGTGCTGCCTGCTGGACACAGCCCATTAACCGCCCGTCTGTACGCCTTGGTTCTTCCTCTGCCTCATCCCCAGTACTCCTCCAGCTGTTCAGTCTACACAGCCCGGAAGAACCTGTTGAGTCTGCTTACTTCTTTTCCCTATACCTTCAATAAAACTAATTAATCTCCAGAATTCGTGTGATTCACTTTGAGTCAAGTTCTCCTGAGCTACTGAGCTTAACACTTACCGTCCCCAATGGCTATGGATGTACTGAAAAATTCCTATCACTTATTGGCTAGTTGTATAGCAGGCTAAAAAGGTTTTTTAAAGATATTTTTCAGAAAAAGAATGTGCCATGTGAAAGAAAGTTATAGCCTATTAAAGGTTAAATTATAAATCTGTATGATTGAATTTGTGCTGATTACAAGCGTGTAATGCAGGGCTGACAGACATACTATTCTGTTATTTTTATATAATGAAACTGTCCTTGTTTCCCTGGCACAAAAGGGAGAATAAATAAAAAACAAACAAACAAAAAACATAGGTATCGGCCACTCTATAATTTACAGATATAACATCTGTATCGGCCTAGAATTACACAATTGGTACATCTCTACCCAAGACCATTACTATTAGAACCAAACTGATTTGGTATTAACAGGAAGGCAAAAGAAATTAAAATGTGGCAAAAATGCTGACACTGTTCACAATTCCATCTACAAATGCAAGAATTCTGCTCTGCATGGGAATTTGTGCTTTAATCCAGCAAAGAGAGATATGGTTAAAACATATTTTAGAACTGAGGCAGAACTGCTGATGCTAAGTAACTACTGTGGTGGTAAAATCCACCACCAGCTCAGACAGGCACATTTTGAATTGACAGATGGCTCAACCATGACCGCTGATTAAGAGAGCTGGTGGGCAAAAGGGTTGGGGTAGAAATGATGAAACAAAATGAAGTTTGGTGCTGCAGTATGTGTGCAATTATCTGGTCTCCAAGAACACTTGGGCCTGCCTTAGAATATACAAGACAATCATATCTAAAAACACACAGGAAAACTCTTTTATACATAATGCTTTGCCTGTTAGAGAGGTCCTGCAGGCTTTACAACAGACAGGAATATCAGACCACTGGAATACTGTGTAGACAATTGACTACCTCCAGTGGTACATCATACATCATTACACCCACACACACACACATATATACACAAAACTAAACAACAATATAAGTTACATTGTGTATGTACATAAAAAAAAAAAATCTTGTCTACAGAAAGGCACAGATGTTTGCAGATGTTTGGCAAATTAATGCTCTATAAAGTCTTGCGCTGCAATTGCCTTTCTGCCTACTAGTGGTCAAAAATGTTTCCTGCTGCTTAATTTGACCTATTGTAGCAGTAAGAGGAGCATTTACCCCTGTTGAGATTAGATAATATATACAAGAAAAAGAGTTATGAGAGACAGACTACATGGAGGAGGGAGACTGAGTGTGTACAGTATGTTAGTAATAAAGTATAAAAGTGTATGTGCGTTCTAAAACAGCCTACATCCTCTCAACATACATATTTACCTGGATGCCGTCCAGCAGTTTGCTCATGCACCAGAAGCTGTCAGCCTCAATGTTCCTCAGAGCCTCTTCCTGCAGACTGGACACGTCAAAGTTTTCCACTTCCTCTTCTAGAGAAGAGAAAGGAGAACAGAGAGAGGGTAAGAAGGGACACACACACACACACACACACACACACACACACACACACACACACGGACAGATGGAAAGAGACAGCAAGTTAAGTGATAGAAAATGGGAGGGAAAGTGTAAAGAAAGGCCGACGGAGAGAGCGAGACAGAATGGAGAACCAGTACAGCAGGGGCTCCATCATAAGCCCACCATTCAGACAAGGAAACAAGAAAAGCAGAGGTGAATGGGGAGGACAAGTTCAACAGGGAGAGTGGGAGGAAGGGAAGAGGTAATGGGAAAGTAAGGCTTGGTATCAGTGCTATTATTCAAAAATTATACAGACACAGTTTCAGTGTGCTATTTGCAAGCAGCATCAGCTGATGTGAGTCATGTCTCACAAATAATACATCTCAGAAGATCTATGATCAAAAGTTGTTGATTTGCCTGTTGCTGGAAAGGGTTACAGAGTAATCTCAAAGACTTCAGACTTTTCAGCACTTAAAACTAGAGACCTGTACGAATCTGTACAATATGTACAAGGTATATTTACAGGTGTTGCACTGACTGTTGTGCATCAGAGTGATGGCCTGGGGGAAGAAACTGTCCCTGTGCCTGGTTGTCTTGGTGCACAGTGACCTGTAACACTGTCCAGAGGGGAGGAGTTCAAACAGATTGTATCCAGGGTGTGAGGGGTCAGCAGTGATCCTCTCTGCCCTCCTTTTGACCCGTGAGGTGTACAGGTCCTCCATGGAGGGCAGGCTTGTACCAATGACCTTTTCTGCAGTCCTGACTGTCCACTGAAGTCTGTACTTGTCCTGTTTGGTTGCTGAGCCAAACCAGACAGTGCTGGAGGTGCAGAGAACAGACTCGATGATTCCTCTGTAGAACTGAGGACATACTAAGAATTTGGCTAGGCTGAAGCAGTTCTGTGAGGAAGAATGGTCCAAAATTCCTCCTGAATGTTGTGCAGGTCTAATCTACAACTACAGGAAGTGCTAGCTTGAGGTTATTGCTGCCAAAAGTGGTTCAACCAGTTAGTAAAACACTGCTGCCATTACTTTTACCACTATCACTTTGTATGTTTAATAGGTGTGTCCAATAAATATATGAAAGATCATGACTGTCTGTGCCTTTTCAGCTTAGAAATATTGTGATATCTGCGACTTTGGTGAATATCAGATCACATTTCATGACCAATTTAACAATAAACCAGGAAATTTCAAATAGTGCCATTATACATTTTGGTACAGATCATTAGTTTTATTTTTTCAACTCCTTGGCATTTTTATGCATTCAAATCAGTTTTATAATGTAAAAAATAAACCTATTTACCACAGTCTTGTTCTGTTAACACTAACATCAAAAAATAAAGATGTAGGATAGCATTTTTCAATACTCAATGGTATCAAAGTAATTCGATCGATGCCATAAAACTATCAAAGTTCGATACTAAGGGGAAGGTCATGGAAAGGACTTAAGATGCTGACAAATTGGAGCACAAAATGAAAGAGAAATGACACGAGAGGGAGCTCAGGAAACATGTGGAAAGGAAGTAAAAAGCCAACTAATAAAGCAGGTGAATGACAACAATCTTTGAACCCCATGGTTCAACCTTTTGCATGGCTACTTTTAACACTGAGAAAATGCACCTCCCCACACGCACAGCATGTACCTTTGCAGAAATAGTGAAGTATGATATTTGTTCCATTGTACTTCCTGAGGTTGAATTACCACTCAGTCACATCACTAGCTTTTAAAGGTTAGTATTTTATTTCTATTACTCTGTACTTTTTGCTGGTGTTTGCTTTTGTGATTTCAGGCTTTAAAAATGGCAGTCAGATGTAAAGTGCTATAAAAATGGTCTGTAAATAAACAAAGCAGAATTAGGTTCAGATGTTTCCTAAAACACAATGCAGACTACACAGAAGAAACAGCTTCCAAGCACTAAGCACACTGAATCCCCAGTCAAATCCAGAGGGTGACTTCGACGACAGGCGTCATCAGATGTCATGAACGGCAGCAGTGTGTGACGGACTGCAGGGGCTTTGATGGGCTTCTGACAAGCCAGTGACGGCCAGTGGAGAGGAGATAGGATGAGACTGATTAACAATGATCTAGAGAGAGACAGAAAAGAGAAAACACGAGAGCCACAGAGAAATAGAGAGTAGTGTGTATCTATCTGTCTGTGCGCCATATTATCAAATATTTTGTGTAAACAAGTACTGGTTTGAGTTTGTGTATTCTTATTACACACACACACACACACAAAGAGGACCTGGCATCTCCAGAGTATCCTTGGCAACCCCAGTGGAATATTGTCAAGGTTGTAATGAGCAAGCTCACTCTGACAGACAGACAGACAGCGAGCTGGCACTGGGCCAGAACTACGAAGCCGCTAACAACTAGGTTGTATGTGTGTGTGTGTGTGTGTGTGTGTGTGTGTGTGTGTGTGTGCGCGCTCACTGTCTTATCTTGGTTGAAGTCAGGTAAGGATACACAGAAAGTGCAAATAGAGGATACGGTGCCTTCATTTCAGTGAAACCTTTCCTCCTTTCATAACAGGACAGATCAGGGTGCCCAGATACATAAAAATCTCACTTGCAGATCTTTGATAGCAGATATGGAAGTGGTCAGGGGCTGCATTGTGATTACAGGTCAGTATAGCTCACTTTAACCACAAACCTAACACAAGCAAACATGAAATGTAATACAGCTAGATGTCACAAGGTATAGACATTATTAGTGCAGACATACTGAGATATAATCTCATATAATGCCATTTCAGGTATGAAATAAAAAAAAACTGTTTGCAGTGAGAAGTGTACACATATCCAGAGAGGGAGAGGCCATCCACCAAGATATTATGAATCAAATACAGCTGAAGGGATAAAAAACTCACAATATTTCTCCTCAGTTTAAATTGAGGCCACAGCAGCAGTCAACTACAATCAGCTAGACCTAAATGTAGTGCTACAGCAGCTGCTGTAAGAGCGCCGAGACAAAAGAGGCCACCATCTGACCAATTTGAAGTCAGTATTTAATTTGATAGCTCCTCTATAGTGATGCAGAACACAGTGACAACACATGAATACAGGCTTCTCTCCCCGGGATGCGCCAGTGATGGCATTAAATTTGAAGTTGAAAAGAATATTTGTAAACAGGCTGACTGGCAATTCACATAGTGTCACTGCTGATTAACAAGGTGGCGAGAGTGCCACTGCTCTGGCATTTTGGGAGACCCTGTGTATCCTGAAGTCTCATAACAGTCTTTGTTGTGACTGAAGTGTTGCTGTTGGGCATAGTTCCAAAGCCAGACCTTGACTTTGGAGCATATTAGAAAGGCATGGCTGCTTCCAGGGGACCAGTGGTCACACTGGAATTGGACATAGCTCAACAAAAAACCAAGGATACATAAAAGTAAGGGCTAAGAGGAGGAGAAGCAAAGCGGACAGTGTGACTGGACTTTGCGTTGCTGGATCCCAAGGCAACAGTGCTCTCTGTGTCAGCTGGTGGAACTGATGCTAACATAACTTACTGGCTGTACACAGAAAACAGTCAAAGCTCAGAGTTATTACTCATTTTCATGGCTAGGTAGTCCAGACAACTCTTTCTGTCCAGCGTTTTGGTGGATGTCTGATCATTTAACAAGCTCTAGCTGAATTCGGTTTTCAAGACCCACTTGCTCTATACTATGGTGTTAACCAGTCCGTCACTTGTCTCCAAATGGTGCAAAGTGCAGCTGCTTGTCTTTTGACAAGTAATAGAGAATTTGAGCATATAATCTCTGGTACTGGCTTCTCTCCACTGGCTTCCAGTCCATTTTAGAATCGATTTTAAGCTACTGATTTTCGTTTTTAAGGCTCTTAATGGTTTGGCACCATCGTACCTCACCGAATTAGTGCATTGACACAAACCGACAAGGTCCCTCAGATCTTCAAGCCAGTTTCTTTTAGAGGTTCCTAGGACCAGATATAAACGGGGGGACCGTGGTTTTACTGTTGAAGCCCCTAAAATGTGGAATAGTCTACCTTTTAATTTTAGATCAGCTACTGACCTGATTACTTTTGAAATCATTGCTTAAAACATATTTATTTGCCTTGGCTTTTAATACACAGCAAGGCCTGATGCATGTGTTATTGTGCCGTATAATTTTTTGCACTGATCTTATTTATTATATTTTAGTTATTTATTGTGATTTTATACTGCCATGTAAAGTACTTTGGTCAACTAGATGTTTTTAAAGTGCTATATAAAAAATTTTTATATAAATAAATTTGATTTGACTTGATGCACCTCCAAATAAGAAGTGTTTTGGTAAGATACACTAAAAATCACCATTAGGCCACCCTGAATACCTCAACAGAGCATGTGTCTCTGTTAACCTGCCTTCAAAAGAAGAAACTGTTAATTACTTTCAAAGGACCCATGCCTCAAGAGAGAATCCTTCAAGATATTCTCCTGGTAAATACTTTTGGAGCTCTATGTCTACACAAAGGACTAGATGACAATACATGTTTGAAACTTTAGACTCAGTAGAAATGCTTTGTGAATAAGAACCTGGGGAATTTCTATAAGTTCAAGCTTCAGTGAGCCTCACATCAGAGAGTGAGAGTCTCAATGGCTTTAATTCTGTTAAGATGTGACTTGAAAATAATCTTTCACCAAATAATATTCTCAGGATGCTCAGAAAGTAAGTCTGACACAAACTCACCTTGGCACAAGAACTTGTTTGAATCAACCAACAGCCACATCTGTGCACAAAGATGCACAGACAGGCATTTTGGGATTGGCAGACCATACACTTGGAGGCATGACCAAGGAGCACAAAACTCCACACACACACCACAAAAACTGTTTACAGAGCAGTAATTGTTTGCTTGCGAGTAACAGTCATCACATAATGTCTTGATGTGAGAGAAAAAAAAAACCAAACGTGTAAATTACAAACAAAAATGTTTGATTTAGGATTCTGAACTTTCTCTAAAAACCCACATTTGAG